TCCTAAGATGATCGAGGAGACAGCAGAGCAGGTCGAGTTGATCCGGCAGAGACTCAAGACAGCCCAGAATCGACAGAAATCTTCCGCCGATCATCATCGACGAGACATTCAGTTTGAGGTTGGCGAGCACGCCTTTCTCAGAGTTCGTTCGGTTCGCGGAGTGGAGCGATTCGGCAAGAGAGGGAAGCTGCACCCTCGTTTCATCCGTCCGTTCGAGGTTCTCGAACGAGTAGGCGAGGTCGCGTATCGTCTAGCCCTACCTCCCGAGTTATCAGGCATTCATAATGTATTTCACGCATCTATGTTGCGTAAGTACGTGTGCGTCCCCGATCATGTTATCCCTCACACGGATATTCAGGTTCAGCCAGATTTGTCGTACGAGGAGCGACCGGTAGCTGTACTAGACCGTCAGGTTCGTCGGCTCCGGAAGCGAGATATCCCCCTCGTGCGCATTCAGTGGGATCGTCACGGAGCTACCTGGGAGGAAAAGTCGGACATTCGCGCTCGTTTTCCAGATTTCCAGTTTTGATGTACATATTTTGTTATCTTATGTACATAGTTCATGTATAGTAGTCATGTTTTGAATTTCCGAGGACGAAAATTTTGTAAGGAGGGAGGATTGTAATATCCCGATATTTTAATCGGTATGAAGTACGTTTAATTCCGATATAGTAACGTTATTCTTTATTATTTTCGGAATTAATTGAGTTCAGTCGGAATTACCGAAATCTATTTTCGACGTACCGTTTACGTTCGAAATAAATTTTGGTAATTAAGTAGTATGTTTAATTAATAATTAAACATAAACTAAGAGTGATTAATGTTAATTAATGACAATTAGTTGTTAGAAGCCCTAATTGCCGTGAGCATAGTGAAACTTTCCAAACATTTAACATAGCCGTGAGTTTTCCTTTGCTTAAGGGAATTAATTTTCCTTCATCCATTGATATTGATACGTGGCTTAAGGAGATTAATAAGGGTGGATTAGTCATCAAATACAAGTTGGGAGATGAACAAATGGTTGCTCCAAAATGGGCCACGGAGTGCCACCGTCATCATTCTCCTTCATCGTCCAAATATATAAGGGTGGCCGTACCTTAATTTTCGTCACTTTTCCTTAGAGAATTGAACATATTTCTTCAGCACCTTTAATCCCCTTTAATCAGCAAGTAAGTTCAAGCAATTTTCCCTTTAAGTTTGCTCAATCGCACGGCAAAAATCTAGCGCTATCACACGGCAAGGTTAAGCTAACGCACGGCGCACGCGCAAAGGCAAGGAGTTACGCCATAATTCTTCCAATTCCGTCGAGCGTTCCGGGAGGTAACCTCTTTTTCAGTTTATATTCAGATTCATAAGGTCATGTTAAGTTGCAGTGTTCGGTCTAATTGTGAGAATTTTTAAGAAGAACCGTGCACATAGCCGAGCATGTTTAATTAAGATTATGACCGAACCATTTCCAATTTCTCCCAGCAACTCTTGAACCATGATCGTTTATATGTCCAGTTTAGACTATTTTCGTGTTCAGTAAGATCAGCTTTGTTGTGGAGAAATGGGATTTGTTGATTAATTGGC